GCATAACGTCCTTGTTCTCCTCAAGGACTTCTCGGATGATGTCGGGCACCCTCCGGGAATTCTCCTCGCAATTGTCTTCCTTTAGCACCGCTAAGTATGTGGGTTCACCTCGCTTTGTCCCCTTGGCAAGTTGCATTTTGGAGAGTTGTTTGCTGGCACTCCTGCTATGCCCCTCTACTGTTGGAACCATGCATGGAGAACCCTTCTTTAATATACAGACGGTACTAAAGGAAAGCATAGAGATTGTTGTTACATGTCACAGGAAATCCATGTCAAGTACCACTTTGAAGTCGTCCATAGGTGCCACTGAAAAATTTACACGTCCCTGCCATGTCCCTAAATGTAGCCCCACGTTGCTCGTGATTCCCTCTAGTCAACGAGCATTAGCATTGACCGTCTTTAGCCATCCGACTTTTTTGGTCGAAGACAAACCCAACCTTGTGGCCTCTTCCTTGGTAATGAAATTATGACTAGCTCATGTGTCCGCCAGGCCCTTAGTTGGTGTCATGTTAATGTGTGCCTCCACGTACATGAGCTTCTTGCTAGTCGTGGTGCACTCGGGCTTGGCTTTGAGGGCATTAAGGACTTGCAACGACCATCATCGTGGGTTCTGCTTCCTTATTATTGGACTCATGTTGCTCCACGATGGTGGAGAGAGAACCTAGCTTCGGGCAGTCCTTCATGGCATGTGGATCTTTGCACACGAAGCAGCCCCCTTTCGAGACGAATGTCTATTTTTTCTCATCGTAGCTACGACGTCCCGCGCTCCGATCTTCCTTGTCTGGTGCTCATTGTTGGTCTCAAATCTTGTTGTCCCTTTTGTCTCCCCCACCTTTAGCGGGTGCTTCTTGTCCTTCTTAGTGGCATCGGAAGATGATGATAGGCGAAATTCAATGAGGGATTCGGCGGCAGCAATAAAGTCATCGACTGTCTTGACGTCCCGGCGTTGCAGCTCTTGTTTCGCCCGTGTTGGAGTCCATCCACGAAGAAAAAGAGCGAGTCATCCTCGGTCATGCTGGGATCTGAAGCAAGCGAGTGGTAAACTCTTTGACATAATCTCTGATGGAACCCTTTTTTTTTTAGTTCCCTCAACTTACGTCAGGCGTCATATACTACGTTCTCCGGATAGAATTATCGCTTGAGCTCCTTGACAAAGTCGTCCCATGTGTCTATCCGGCATGTGCCTCGCTCAATGTCGTCGTGTTTCCGGCGCCTCCGTAACATAGTAGTATCATAAAGGTAAAGGAAAAGAGTCTTTACCTTGGTTGCCTCATCGGTGAGATTAATGCCCTCAAAATATTGTTGCATTCAAAAGTTTTCGACTTCTTTGGCGTCCCTCACACCATTGTAGCCTATTGTCTTTGGGCACTCCACCATTGATGTTGGTGTGGTGCTGCTAGTTTCTCCACTTCAACGCCTTCTTGCAGACGACGAGGTCCTCGTGCATCCTCTCGAAGTGCTTGTGCATTCCTTCTACGCGCTCGTGCATCTCCTCGATGCGATCGTGCATCCCCTCGATGCTTGTTTGGAGCGCTTTCATAAGGTCCTACAAGTGATCCAAGCGATTCTCCATGGCGCATTGTGCGTCGAGACCAGACCATCGTTAACGGTGCTTTTGACAGACTCGATCTCCTCCAAGACGTGTGTCTCCAACGTCTTGAAGGTAAACTCGACCCTTTCGAGCCTCTCACCCATTTCTCCGACTGTTTGCTCCAACGACGAGAACTCGGCGCGAGCCCAGCTTTGGTCCCGGCGCTTCTTGTCTTTGGTCGTGGTGGTGTGCTCCCGCCATCGAGTTTGCACCTCGATCACACCCGACCCAGAGGCGTCTTGCTCCTTATCTCTGGCCATACTTCACACTGTACCGAGCGTGGCTTTGATACCGCTTGCCACACCCTTATTCCTCGAACGTTGGTTGCGTGCGGCCCTAGCCCATTGTGCGCCCTTCGCAGCTAACTAAGTCAACCTTACTGTGCTTAGATCGTGCCCGGTGTGTGCAAGTGCTTGGCAATAGAATGTGGGAAAGATATGCAGGAGAGAATGTAGGAAAAGCTTGTACTACTATTCACACAAACTTTGTACAAGAGAGCTTACTTGTTGCTTGGATGCTTTGCAAATGAGAGGACCTCTCCAATTTATGGGCACCACCTCCTCTAAGAAATCATCTAGATCCTAGAAGGTCTTGAGTGTTCTAGACCCTTCCACAAAAATCCTACTTCCTACACACAAGTCCTAAAATCTTCTATAAGGCTCTAGGTCCTTCATGTCCCTACTGCAAGTATATACATAACTCTAGGGCCTTCTAGAAGCTCCTAGACAAAACTAAGTCTCTCCTAAGACATCTATGTACAAAACTTAGGTATGGTCGGCCTAAGTCATCCAAAGGTCGAACAGCCCCGTGCGCGCGCTCCCTGGATGCGCGCGCGTCCTCTGTGCGTGCGTTCATGCTCTCTGTCGGCGTGCGCGCGGGGCGGCTCGGGTCGGCGCGGACCGTTACAGTGCGTTCGCATATTATAAATATATACATGCACACCATATTAAGGCAAAACATGGTTTAGAAATTAATGATAAGCACCCAAGTGCCGGGAAAAAATTAAGATACTCGTTTCTTTTCCATCATAAGGTTTTGCATCATCTCCTACACATGTTTGCAAATGCACACAAAAACATGAACTTCAACTTATATTATAAAAAAGAAACTTATAGAATCAGCAACAAAAGAGAATTGTGATATATAGATAGAAAACAACCATAGTTGGTAGTATATTAGTTAGAGAAAGCACTTACAATTTATTGGGTAAAAAAAAAATGCAACTGATCTTCAACATATCATGTAGAGATGTTACAAAAGATCAAAACATTTAAATTCTGAAATCCATCGAGAGGGTTCTTATTTCTTGTTGCTTGTGCTTTTACCTCCAGCATCATTACCCCCTGCTGCCTGTGCTGCCTTCTTTGCTGTTTTTTCTTGAAGTGCCTTTGCATCCCTATGCACCAACAGATACACGTGCCGTCAAAGACATAACCAAAACCATATCAAAGTCCTTAAAAACAAATGTATATCATTACGAGATATAACAAAACTGATAAAATACAACAATCTCCATCAAAAATCGCATCTGAAGAAGTATTTGAAAGCATAGAGAATAAAATGAGAAACCAATGGAAGATAAGTGAAGCCGTTAAATAAAATTAACAGTTTACTATCTGAAACAAGAAACTCGTCGTAAGTTAACAATAAATTCGACATGATACATAGAAAAATTTAGAGGCAAGACACAAAATATTTGGGATATCATATAACATCCCTACAATGCACCAGGTTATGGAGAATAAATATGCGGAATCCAAACAAGATATAACCAAAGATTATCGCTGATTCTAGTATAAGTTGCAACTCATTTCAGCAAACGAGCCCATAAGAAAAACCGTTGCAAGTCAAATTGCAACAATCGTAGTCAAATATGTCTGGTTGATTCGAACACGGATCTACAAACTTAATTAATTTCTCATTGAAAGTATGCCTAATATGATTCCGACAAGTTCAATTCACAAGCACCCCCACCGATTTCTTCATGTATTCCATAATTCTTTCCTGACGAGCGATTTGCGGACCCAACGCACAGACAACAGAACAAACAAGATCTAAAAGGACCTGAAACAAAGATAGATGCTTGGTGTACACAAAACTCCAACATAAATCTTAATTAACAAAACCCAAGCATAAACTAGAATCAATTACTTACTGAAGCAAACTCCTTTCTTATTTTCCGATTTCTGGACAACTTAGTAAAACAAAATCACAAAAAAATCACAACACAAAACCAAAAAAACGAAATACTAATAAAATAAAATAAAAAATTAAAATACTGGGGTTACCTTTCGCGGCGCTGTTCAGGCGTCAAGCCGTCATCTTTACCCTTGCCTTTGGCACCGCTCCGTGCCTGAGCCCTTTCTCGATCACGATCCCTTTGATTTCCGCGTATTTCCGGTTAAGGAAGAGACAATCTTAAACGAAACGAAAACGAAAACTGAAACAATATTGTTGTTCGCCATTAAAACATCCAACCCAGAAAACAGAACTGCAATTATTTTCAAATCTACGGATCTAACAAGACGATTAAAATTCAAAAAACAATCAAGAGGGGTTAAAAGATCTGAAGATACACAGTAGTCGTCGATGCAAAAAGAAAACGCAATTCAAAGAGAAAATCATAAAAGATGCTGAATTTTAGATCATCGGAAAAGGATATGAGTCATGGTGAGACGGCGACGATAGGAGAGAGGAGCCGACGGGAAGAAAGTCTGCGGCGACGGTACGCGAAATTTTTAGAGACCCACAAGAATTGCGGGACGGCTGCTTTACAATTTCTTTTATATTTTTTTTTTTTTTTTTTGGGCATCAAAAGTTGACTATTTTCAAATTTAAGGAGTTCGTGGGATGCACGTACAACAATAATCAATAAATAAATTAAAAATTTAATAAGTGAATTAATAATATAGGTTAATTCATAAATAATGTGTAAAAGTAATAATTATATTATTAATTTTTACTTTTTGTTGAATTATATGTAATAGTCTAAAATTTAATTTATTTGTATTTATATATTTCAAAATAAGTATCAAAACTTTAATTAAGAATTATCTAACTATATAATAATATTTCTAATTTGTTTCTTATTTCTTTCTTATTAATAATTCTTTACCATGATTTTGTTTCCATTGTTTATTTTAAAGATAGAAAATTTTGATAACACGCTTAAAATTGAATTTAGTTTGTCAATAGAATCAAGTTTAGGACACAAAATTAAAATGGATGTAGTATATACTATTGTAATAATAAAATTAATTAGTTCGATTATAGTAATTGATAAATTTAATTAATTTATGTTGGAAAGTATAAAATAAACGGGAATCCTGCGAACTAATATGTAATTATCAGTTCTTACAAATAATCTAAAATTAGAAAATTATAATTGAACTGAAAAAATAAATTACAACTGAAAAATGGAAAGATTTTAGCCGAGGCGAGTAAAACTCTTTCCGCAAGTAGAATACGCCCAGTGTGGTGCTAACGGTTCAGGCGTAATATCCCCAAAGATACAACGGCAAACGTCTCTAAATCTGTAGCACACCAGATTTATGAGTTCCGGTGAACGGGAACGGAATCGAGAATTGAGCACTTAGAAATAAAAGGAATATCACCAAACAAAGAAAAATATCACTTGTTTCTTCTCTTTTGATATTTTTATATCCGATATTTGGACATAAATCTATTTTTTCTTTCCTTTCTCTTTCCTTTCTCTTTCTCTTTCTTTCCTCTCTTTTTCTCTTCTGGGTACCTTTTCACTTCTGCTGAATGTGCCTATTTGTAGGCATACGAAACGTATCAAATTGCAATAATTAATATAGAACAAGTTGGCCAACTGGCCATTTTCGTATGCTCCTTCCCACATATTGCAGTAATTTTTTTTTTTTAAATGACCAATTAGGGCGGTGCATGTGGGGCGGCACCGCCCCTTTATTTTATCTTTTTCTGATATTCCCCCACAAAAGAGAAAATAAAGAAATACACATATATACAAACTCTTGTGCTCAATCCTCACAAAATTCTATTTCATCAGAAAAGGTAGCTTTTGGCTTTGAACCTTTCTTAGTAAACATCATCGGATGCACGGGCCGCCTAGTGGACTTAATACCTTGAACTATTCCTCCATAGTGTACACGTAGACAATGGCATTTACACAATAGAGTCTTAACTCCTTTCCGTTCTATCGTTGCGTCCGTTTTGGCCATGGACAACACTTTGAATTCATAAGTGTTTACATTTGAAGCGGCCCACACTTCACACATATATAGGTGACATCCCTATCAAGAATGACATGTATTACTCCACCTTTACAAAGTTAGGGATTCATTAAAAGTCCATATGACTTACCCTCACCACAATCAACAGGTAATCTTGCACTTGGAGTGCTCTAGGGAATAGCTTTAGACATTCATATGTTCAAGTGCTCAACTGAATTTTCATAGCTTAGTTTTCCCTTTGAACCAAGTTCGTGGGATCTCCACTCAGCATGGTAGGGTTACCACTATGATCATTCTTTACATTGTGGATTTTTAAGCCCATTCCCTCTAGCAATCTTACTAATTGATCTCTATTCATTCCTTTCGTCAAAGGATCAGCCAAATTTTCCTTAGACTTCACATAGTCAATGGAAATAATACCATTTGTGATCAATTGACGTACGGTATTATGTCTACGATGAATATGTCTAGACTTACCATTATACAAGTTGCTTTGCGTCCTACCTATAGCAGCTTGGCTATCACAGTGAATCATCACAGGCGGCAAAGTCTTATCGCAACATGGAATATTAGATAAAAAATTTCTAAGCCACTCGGCTTCTTCACCAACTTTATCTAAAGCGATGAACTCTGATTCCATCGTTGTCCGAGCTATACACGTTTGTTTTGTGGATTTTCACGAAACTACACCTCTTCCAATACAGAAAACATATCCGCTAGTGGAGCGAGAATCTCTCGAATTTGATATCCAGCTTGCATCACAGTACCCTTCAAGTACGGTTGGATATCTCGAGTATTTGAGCCCGTATTCAAGGGTATACCTTAAGTACTTAAGTACCCGTTTCAAAGCATTTTAGTGCTCATGACTGGGATAACTTGTAAATCTGCTCAACTTACTCACTGGATAGGCCAAGTCTGGTCGTGTACAATTCGTCAAGTACATCAGACTCCTTATTAACCGTGAATATTCCAGCTGAGCCACTGGTTGACCTTTGTTGCCTACCAGATTTATACTGAGATCAAGGGCGTCTTACACCTAGACTGTGCACCGTCATAGGCATTAAATTTCTTGAGCACTTTCTCTACATAATGTAATTGTGACAAGACAATTCCATCTTGGGTTCTGATGATCCTTATTCCAAGAATAATATCAACCAAACTCATATCTTTCATGTCGAAATTTTGTCTTCAACATTCTTTTCGCATCCATGATCACTTCATAGCTACTCCCCACAATCAACATATCGTCTACATATAGACATACAATCACAAATGTATTTGATGTACTATTGACATAAACACATTTGTCACATTCGTTGATTTTGAAATCATTTGATAACATCACGTCATCAAATTTTAAATGCCATTATTTCGGAGCTTGTTTCAGTCCGTACAAGGATTTGATCAATCTACACACATTTCTCTCTTGTCCAGGTGCAACAAACCCTTCAGGTTGTTCCATGTAGATTTCTTCTTCTAATTCACCAGTCAAAAATATGCCGTTTTGACATCCATTTGGTGAATCTCAAGATTGTTCAAAGCAGCAATTGAGAGAAGCACTCTTATCGACGCAAAATGCGTAACTGGTGAATAGGCATCAAAGAAATCATACCCTTCCTTTTGTTTAAAGCCTTTGACCACCAAACGTGCTTTAAACTTATCAATCTATCCATCAGCTTTGTATTTCTTCTTTAGGATCCACTTGCATCCTAAAGGTTTACAACCATCAGGGAGATCAACCAACTCCTAAATATGATTTTGCATAATAGACTCGATTTTGCTATTTACAGCTTCTTCCCAGAGTAGTCTATCTGGGCTGGACAGAGCTTCCTTAAGGGAACTAGGTTCATCGTCTAACATGTACGTAATAAAATCATTTCCAAACATTTTAGCCGTTTTTACCCTTTTACTACGCCTCGGTTCTTCATTAGTACCTTCTGGTACAGAACCACTAGAAGTTTCATATGTTCGTTTGTAATGACTAGATTCTGTCCTTTCCTTCAGAGGAAAAATATTCTCAAAGAATATAGCATTCCTCGACTCAATCGTGGTGCCCACAGATGCCTCTGGATTTTCTGATTTATGAACCAGAAATCTATATGTTGTGCTATTGTACGCATATCCAATAAATACACAATCGACTGTCTTTGGTCCGATTCTTACTTGTTTAGGTTCAGGTACTGAAACCTTAGCCAAACACCCCCACACTTTCAGGTATTCATAAGACGGCTTACGATTTTTCCACATTTCGTAAGGAGTCTCATCTTTCTCTTTAGGTGGTATTTTATTAAGGATATAATTTGCTGCTAAAATAGCTTCCCCCCACATGTTCTGTGGTAATCTTGAATTAATCAACATGGCATTCATCATTTCTTTTAACGTACGGTTCTTGCGTTCAGCAACACCGTTCGACTGTGGAGAATAAGGGGCCGTCGTTTGATGAATTATGCCATATTCAGAGCATATATGTTCAAAGGGAGCTACATACTCCCCACCCCTATCACTTTGGATTATTTTAATCATTTTGCCGAGTTGATTTTCAACTTCGGTCTTATAGACTTAAATGCTTCTACAGCCTAATCTTTGCTTCTTAACAAATATAAGTAGCAAAACCTTGTACAATCATCGATAAAATTAATAAAATACTTTTTACCCGTTCCTGTTTGCACACTTTTCATATCACATACATCAGTATGGATCAAGCCTAATAGTTCAGCAATCCTTTCCACCGAGTGAAAAGGTAACTTAGCCATTTTTGCTTCAATACAAATTTCACATTCTTATGTGATTCGATTTTAGAATTAGGAATTAATTCTAAATTCATTAATCATTTAATTGCATTTAGATTTACATGTCCCAATCTAATATGCCATAAGTCAGAGCACTCGACGGTATAAACAGAAATAGGCTTTTCATTATCATTAGAAACGGTTACACGGCTTACAGCCATAACATTCATTTTGAATAGTCCCTTGTCAAGATAGCCACGACCAAGGAATGTTCCAAACTTGCTAAGAATAAATTTCTTAGCATCAAACACCAGCCTAAATCCATGCTCAACAAGAAGAGATCTGGAGACCAAATTCTTGCAGATGTCTGGGACATGCAGAACATCCTTAAGTTTCAACTCCTTTATAGAAGTGAGCTTCAGCACCACTGTGCCAACCTCAGCCACATCAGACGTGGAGGAGTTTCCCATGTGAAGTTTCTGACCCTTAGCATGAGTGTATTCAGAGAACACCTCCTTATCGGAACACACATGACGAGTGGCACCAGTATCAATGTACCACTCCCTTGGGTTATCAACCAAATTGGCTTCAAACACCACAGCCGACATATCAAAGTCGGTCAATTCACCCGACACAGGGCCATGTTCAGCAATAAGTGCACTCGGTTGCCCTTTTTTTGTCCCATTCTTCTTAGGCTTCCTGCAGTCCTTGGCCATATGGTTCGGCTTTCCACAGTTGTGGCAATTTCCAGTAAATTTCTAAACCTTGGCGGGCTGCTTCCCTTTGTTATAAGGGAATTTCTCTTGTTGCCTTGCTCCAACAAGTTGGCACGAGCTTCGATCATCGGGATTTTTCCTGATTAATTACGGTTGTCTTCCTCAATGCAAAGACGAACAACCAGGTCTTCAAGACTCATCTCCTTTCTCTTGTGGTTGAGATAATTCTTAAAGTCCTTCCAGCCTGGCGGCAGCTTCTTGATCACAACCGCTACTTGGAATGACTCGCTCAATGTCATCCCTTCAGCATGTATATCGTGCAAGATCAGCTGGAACTCTTGCACTTGTGACACGACAATCTTCGTGTCAACCATCTTGAATTCGACAAATTTTCTGACGATGAATTTCTACGCCCCGACATCTTCAGTCTTGTACTTCTTCTCCAAGGCAGCCCAAAGCTCCTTGGCGGA